TTAAGAATGATTCTCAGCTTAAATTTGATGTTCAAGTCAATAATGTGGTTCAAGTATGCTTTTTTCACCTAAAGAATCTTTATAAGTCTTTTTGATGAGGAATCGTTTTGAGAAGCTTATTCATGCATTTAATGCATTTTGTTTAGACTACTGCAATAGTCTTTACTTGGGTGTTGATCATGGATGTATTGCTAGGCTGCAGCTAGTTCAAAATGCTGCAGCCCATCTTTAGACTGGCACTGGTCGATTTGATCATATCACTCCAGTTGTTGCCTCTCTGCATTGGATCCTAGTTCAGTTCTGTGTTGAATTTAAGATTTTGGTTCTGGCCTACAAATGTTTAAATGGCCTTGCTCCTAGCTCTTTATCTGGAATTCTTGTGCCTTATGTCCCATCTTGTGGATTAAGGTCAGCTGACCTAGTGAGCAGAACTAACTGTCATCACAAGCTGCTGATCTAGCAGCATGATGCTCATTATTATTTTATGGGTTACAGACGAGTGTTGATGCTCTGTGTTTGTATTTTTGCAGTGAGCCTCACAATCTCACTTCTTTCCACCCACAGTTTCTTCTTAAAACACGTATTACATTTACTGTTTTGACACATTTTAACGAGCTTCCTCCGCGCTGTGATTTCAATGTAGGATACAAACTTTACAGCACTCTCATGGAGTAAAGGTTCAGCAGATATGTTTGTTTACATTTTTGCCCCTGCGCGTCTACAGTGTTAGGGAAAGGAAGGGAGGGGCTGACGCGATGCTGCTGTCAGGGTATCTCTAGGCTCCACAGTAGCAGCGACGGACAGCTGGTTTGACCGGCTCTGAGAGGCGTTAATCAGAATTTGCAGATAGCGTTTCTTTCCTTCTACTAATCGCATAGTGATGTCTGGGCTTAAAAGCAACTCATTAGATTCATAGTTTTTTGTTAAAGTAATGCATTACCATGAATAGTAATGTGTTTACCAACATTTGTTATGTATATTACTGATTGCAAAAACACGCCTAGGTATTTTGTCTTGTCTTTTTACTGAATATTTTTCTTTTATATATTTCTGCTTGGTTCGCTGCAGTTTCAAGGAAGAGAGAAGAGACGGATGAGAAACCTCTGCTCTTACATTTTCACAACCATCAAATGAAAGACGGAGGTGTCCCAACCAGCAGCTTGGCTGGGCAGATGACAGCAAAAGTTGGTGGAGGAGCAGAAACTATCAAGAACCTAGATCTGGACCCTAATGAAAAGACATCCGATTCTTCAGAGATTGAAGTTAGTGGAGAAGATGAAAATGATTTGAATCTAGACTCTGAGCGTTCAGACTCTGGGCCTGAAACTGGAAACGGAGATCATGGCTGTAATATGAACAAGTCTTCGGAGTCAGATATTAAGACTGTCAACAAATCATTTAGCTGCCCTGTTTGTGATATACGGTTCCTCCACCAGTGGTCTCTTCAGGAACATGTGAGAGTGACAAGTCATTCAGCAGTAAAGTCTTCAGAGTGTTTGGTTAATACAAAATGTGTGAAAGAGAAGCAACATGGAGGCTCATGTAGAAAAGTCCAGAAACAACCGAAATCATTTAGTTGTGATGACTGTGGTAAAAGATTCAGCCTAAAGTCCAATTTAACCCGTCATATGAGAGTCCACACTGGGCAGAAGCCTTTTGCCTGTGAGCTCTGTGGATACAGATGTACCCAAAAGTCAAATTTAAATAATCACATAAAAGTCCACACAGGAGAGAAGCCTTTTGCCTGTGAGCTCTGTGGATACAGATGTACCCAAAAGGCATATTTAACCAAACACATGAGAGTCCACACAGGAGAGAAGCCTTTTGCCTGTGAGCTCTGTGGATACAGATGTAGCCATAAGGGAAGTTTAAACGCACACATGAGAGTCCACACAGGAGAGAAGCCTTTTGCCTGTGATCTCTTTGGATACAGATATACCCATAAGGCAAGTTTAAACACACACATGAGTGTTCACACAGGAGAGAAGCCTTTTGTCTGTGAGCTCTGTGCATACAGATGTACCCAAAAGTCACATTTAAATGATCACATGAAAGTCCACACAGGAGAGAAGCCTTTTGCCTGTGAGCTCTGTGGATACAGATGTACCCAAAAGGCAAATTTAACCAAACACATGAGAGTCCACACAGGAGAGAAGCCTTTTGCCTGTGAGCTCTGTGAATACAGATGTTCTAAAAAGGCAAGTTTAAACACACACATGAGAGTCCACACAGGAGAGAAGCCTTTTGCCTGTGAGCTCTGTGGATACAGATGTACCCAAAAGTCAAATTTAAATGATCACATGAAAGTCCACACAGGAGAGAAGCCTTTTGCCTGTGAGCTCTGTGGATACAGATGTGCCCATAAGGCAAGTTTAAACACACACATGAGTGTCCACACAGGAGAGAAGCCTTTTGCCTGTGAGCTTTGTGGATACAGATGTAGCCAAAAGGCAAGTTTAAATGCACACATGAGAGTCCACACAGGAGATAAGCCTTTTGCCTGTGAGCTCTGTGGACACAGATGTACCCAAAAGGCAAGTTTAAACATACACATGAGAGTCCACACAGGAGAGAAGCCATTTGCCTGTGAGCTCTGTGGATACAGATGTACCCATAAGGCAAATTTAACCAAACACATGAGAGTCCACACAGGAGAGAAGCCTTTTGCCTGTGAGCTCTGTGAATACAGATGTACCCAAAACGCAAGTTTAAACAGACACATGAGAGTCCACACAGGAGAGAAGCCTTTTGCCTGTGAGCTCTGTGGATACAAATGTACCCGTAAGGCAAGTTTAAACACACACATGAGAGTCCACACAGGAGAGAAGCATTTTGCCTGTGAGCTCTGGGGATACAGATGTACCCAAGAGGCAATTTTTACCATACCATACCATACCATTTTATTTATATAGCGCTTTCAACACGGCATTACAACCATTCGAAGCGCTGCACGAAAAACAAGCAAGAAGACACAATTTAAAATAGTCAGGTAGATGGAAAATGTAAAAAGGAGCAAAAGAAATATAAACAACAGACTATTAACAGTAAAAGCAAATAAAACCAGAATATAAAAACACAAAATTAAAATTGAATTGACTTGGTGGGACAATGGATGAGCTAAGGAGTTATGGAATTAAGGATCGAATGCTTAAGTGAAGTAGAGGGTCTTCAGACAAGATTTAAAAACGGCGATAGAGGAAGCTTGCCTAACCTACAGCGGTAATGAGTTCCATAACCTTGGGGCACAGACTGAAAAAGCCCGTTCCCCACGAGTCGTCAAACGTGCCTTAGGGACAGTTAAGAGGAGTTGATCTTCAGACCTAAGAGCACGAGGAGGGTGGTAGTAATGAAGGAGATCACACAGATAGGGAGGCGCTTGACCGTTCAAGGATTTGAACGTGAGAAGTAAAATTTTATAATTGATCCTGAATTTAACGGGCAACCAGTGAAGCGTTTTAAGAATAGGCGAGATGTGGTGTCTTCTTTCAGTTCCAGTCAAGAACCTTGCTGCAGAATTCTGAACAAGCTGAAGCCTAGACAAAGCCGCCTCACTGATACCGTACAAACAGGAGTTTTAATAATCCAACCGAGAAGTGATGAATGCGTGAATCACAGATTGTAGAAGATGGACACTCAGGATGGACTTTAATTTTGAAATACGTCTAAGATGGTAAAAGCAGGACCTTACCGTGCTATTGACCTGAGCATCCATCTTCAGAGCAGAATCTATTCTTATTCCCAGGTTGGAAACAACAGAAGTGACATTAGGCGACAGATAGTTGAGGTCTGGTTGCTGGGCTGCTCTAACACTAGTTGGACTAAAAACGATTACCTCTGTTTTGGAGTCGTTCAGAATTAGGAAGTTGTCAGCCAACCATTGCTTGACTTCGTGAAGACAATCGAACAGAGGTTTAGTGGAGTCTTTGGGTTTCAGTGAAAAATAAATTTCACAGTCATCTGCATATAGATGGTAAGACACTGCATACTGTTTGAAAACAGCTCCCAAGGGCAGAATATAAATACAGAACAGTAACGTGCCGAGGATGGAACCTTGAGGAACCCCCCAGGGAAGGGAGAGTGTTTCGGATGAATAATCATCCAGCATGACCCTAAGGGACCTGTCATGGAAGTAAGACCTAAACCAGTCCAGGGCCGAACCTGAGATGCCAGCCCAAGTCCGTAGTGTAGAGATCAAGATGTTGTGATCAACCGTATCGAAGGCTGCAGATAGATCCAGAAGCATCATAACCACATGGAACCCCGAATCTAATGCCAGAAAGATGTCATTAATCACCCGAACAAGAGCAGTTTCAGTGCCGTGCTGTTTTCTGAACCCAGACTGAAACATGTCCATTACCTGATGGTCATTAAGATGTATAAGTAACTGTTCGTACACTACTTTCTCAAGTACTTTAGATAAAAATGGTAACTTAGAGATTGGAAGGAGATTAGAGAATTTGGCAGGATCCAGACCAGGTTTTTTCAGAATTGGCTGCACAACAGCGTGTTTAAAGTCACGAGGAACCACAGCCAAGGTCAAGCTACCATTAATAATATCCAGCACATATTGCCCAATCAACGGAAATACCTCCTTCAGGTGACGAGGTGGAACAACATCATCTGGAGAGCCCGATAGCTTCATGGTAGCAATAGCTTTTTCCAGACAACACAGAGAAATGGGTTGAAAACTATTAAATAAGCCATGAGTGGGAATGACAGTAACAGGAACATTGGAAGTAGGAGGAATCTGAGCTCTGATTTTATCAACCTCATCTAAAAAAAAACTGAAGGATTTGGTTGCACAAGCCAGCAGAAACAGAGGAAAATAGTGTTTTAACAGGTGAGAGCATAGCATTCATGGTTTTATACAAAACAGCTTGATTATTAGAATTAGCAGAAACAATCCCAGCAAAGAAACGATTTCTAGCGCCTCTAACAGCTTTTTGATACTGCGACCACGCTTCTCTCATGGCTTCAAAGGAGACCATAAGCCCATCTTTACTCCATTTACGCTCCAGTCTTCTGCAGTTTTGCCTAATTGAACGAGTGCGCTCGTTCAGCCAAGGGTCAGGCTTAATCTTGGTCAGCCTGGATTTTAATGGAGCTACAGAATCCATAGCAGCTAGACAGGATGAATTAAGAAGATGCAAATAACTATCAACAACAGTAAAATCACAGGGGGCTGATATCAGAGCAAAAACATTTACAAAATCTCCAGCAGTAGAGGGAGTAATAACTCGAGAGAGACGAGTGTGGACATGGTCAGTACGAGAAGTGGAAGCCACGTCCAGGTTAAACAGAACTGGTGAATGATCAGAGAAAGTAGCAGGGAGAATAACCAAGTCACTGTTACTCAGCCCATGAGACAGAACCAGGTCCAGTGTGTGAACATGGCCACGCGTGGGCCCATTCACGAGTTGGGACAGGCCAAACGAATCGACAAGATCCAAAAAGTCCTTCACCATAGGTCTGTCGGGACAACAGACATGAATATTAAAATCCCCCAGCAGGAGGAGATGGTCATATTTACAGAAGATTTGAGCTAGAAACGTCGCAAATTCATCTAAAAAGTCCTTATTATATTGTGGAGGACGGTAAATAAGTGCGCACAGCATGGGAGGCGATTGACCCAGTTCAAAGGCGCTTAGCTCAAAAGTTAGTGGAGTTGAAGAGGGGACTGTGAGGTTACAGATAAGACCAGATTTAAATAAAGTCAACAGAGTCCACACAGGAGAGAAGCCTTTTGCCTGTGAGCTCTGTGGATACAGATGTACCCAAAAGACAAGTTTAAACACACACATGAGAGTCCACACAGGAGAGAAGCCTTTTGCCTGTGAGCTCTGTGGATACAGATGTACCCAAAAGACAAGTTTAAACGCACACATGAGAGTCCACACAGGAGAGAAGCCATTTGCATGTGAGCTCTGTGGATACAGAGTTACCCTAAAGTCACATTTATTGATAACATGAAAGTCCACACAGGAGATAAGCCTTTTGCCTGTGAGCTCTGTGGATACAGATGTACCCAAAAGACAAGTTTAAACACACACATGAGAGTCCACACAGGAGAGAAGCCTTTTGCCTTGAGCTCTGTGGATACAGATGTACTTAAAAGGCAAGTTTAAACAGACACATGAGAGTCCACACAGGAGAGAAGCTTTTGCCTGTGAGCTGTGTGGACAAAGATTTAGCCAAAAAACAAATTTAAAGAGACATGCGGGCACCCACACAAGGCTCGAGGGATTTATTTAACAACAGTACTTCCAAATGTACTATTTAGTTCTTTTTCAACCTTAATATTAGTCTTGTAACTCTGCTCAACTATCGTTGATCAAGTCCGTACTCGGCCCTTTAGCCACCTCTTCTTTTGATTTTCATTTTCAAATCTCCTTTGTTTTTTAAACTTGGACCTTAACCAAACACCACGTCAATTGATCAGAAGAAACATGTTCTAGGGATATTTATTGATTTAAAAAAGGCTTTTGATACAGTTAATCATAAAATGTTACTTGAAAAGGTAGAGAGGTATGGGATTAGGGGTGTAGTGTTGTGCTGGTTGACAAGCTATCTACAACAGAGGAGACAGTTTGTGAAATTTGGAGAATGTTCATCTTCATGGTTGGACATTGTTTGTGGAGTACCACAGGGGTCTGTGTTGGGTCCAAAATTATTTTTATTATATATTAATGATTTGAGTAATGTAACAAATCCACTGACATTTGTTTTGTTTGCTGATGATACCACTATTTTCTGTGCAGGAGATAATATTATCGACTTAGAAAGGATGGTCCAAATTGAAATGTGCGTCATTAAAGAGTGGTTTATTGAAAATACGCTTACATTAAATATAGCAAAAACAAAATGTATGTTGTTTGGTATGGCTGATAAAACTGAGGTTAAGCTGCAAATAGATGGATGTGAAATTGAGCAAGTAACAGAACATAAGTTCCTTGGAATAGTAATTGATAATAAATTAAGTTGGAAACCACAAATGAAACATGTATATAATAAGGTTGCGAGAAGCATCTACATTGTGAATAAAGCTCGGCAGTACTTGGGATATAAATCACTCCATGTCCTTTATTATTCATTGATTTATCCCTATCTTATTTACTGTGTAGAGGTATGGGGTGTAACGTGAGGAAATATGGGTTTTCTGTGCCAAAGGTCATTTGACTCGGCTGGGTCAAGTGCTGGGTCGCTGAGAACTTTCACCCACAGATTGAGACCTTTGCAGACATGAAGTCTGCAAGAGTCTGCTGGAAACCATAACATCTGCCACCTGCAGCGCCAGAAGATGTATTCTCATGGAAAAGTATTCATAACATAACAAACTTTCTTCCCTTTATTTTAAGTTGTTAAAAGAATCATTATTATCACTTTGCTCATTATAAATGTGTTTTAGTCGAATGATTATTATGCTTTGGGTAATAATAACTAATGAATCACTGCTTAATTAAATAATGTTCTGAGGATGTTTTAGTGGTGACCTTCACACACTCACACACACATCTGCTCTCACAGTAAACTCCAAAACACATTTGCTGACGCACACGTTTTGCTTTGAGAAGAGAAAGGCTTTTGGTAAATTTTCAGTTCATGATTCAGTTCGTGCTGGACAACGAAAGAGAGAAGACCTGAATAAACGCAAAAGGGGGGACAGAGCCGATCGGCTCATTCCCCCCCCCCCCCCCCCCCCCCCCCTCTCACGCTATTCCTAGGAATAGCTGAATTGCAACAACTAACGCGGACTCGCCTCGAGTCCTTTGATTTCTGAGTAAACTAAGCTTAAGAAAACACATCTGCAAACGTTTTTCCATCAACGTGTACCGTGGGCATCTCTGGACCGGGTCGCGGACATCTCCGTCTCCTCTGCCAGCCGCTAGTGTCACCTGGATGAAACATCACCATCCTCTGGCGTCCCGGATCTAAAGAGGGTCCGACTTTAGGTGAGGCAGTCCACGGCAGATAACGTTTGATGCGTCTTTTCCAATAAGACCTAAGTTTATCCAAAACATCACGTTCACTCAGACACCTGTTTCTTCCTGAAGCAAAATCTAATGCACACACACGCACTCAGCTCACCTCATGTTCAATCTTCACACATTCGCCACAAGGTCTATTTGAGTACAATATCAACTGTTAAAGATTGTCCAACAAAGTTGCCAATGTTGATTGTCATTTCCATGTTTGTGATTTCAATGTTTGTGATTTCAAAATCATTAGTTTAATTTGAAGAATTAAAACTTTTAACTTTCAAACTTGTTTCTTCATTGAACTGAAACACAGACACACGGATATTATCGTCAGTTTATCGATGAAAACAACCTTTGAGTCTTCTTAAAACTATACAATTTGGTTTTTAATTTAATAAAATTAATATCACAAATTAATATGTAGAATGGTTCCTCTTTCATAAAAGAGCATAAACCATAACGCTACATTAATTGGCGAGCTTATCCAGACTTCTATATCTGCGATATATCCGATTTATTCCATCTAAAAGCTAATTTTTAACAAAATTACGCGTTTTCTCTGTGTTTCACTTTGATGTCTTATTTTGAACAACCGGAAGTTGTTCTACACTAAACTCATTCCTCTTGGAGACGTCCGGGGGAAGATATTTCTGTGGAAGTTCCATCTAAATTTCCGATGCCAAACTAACCTCAAATTTAGCAAATCCTGTGAGTTTTCCCATCTTCGCCCTTCGGTGAGAGGCTGGGTGAGTGGGGTCTTTCACTATATTCTGTCCATTTTGACGAGACATCGCGTCTCTGAACTCTTCAGGTCGGAACTTAAACTTTCCGCTCTGATAACAGCTAACAGCTAGCCGCTTAGTTCGAGTAACAATCCCTTTGCCTAAAAGTAAGACGTTCGTCGCGGTGTTGGGACACCGTGTGCGAGCAATTCTATAATCGAAGATAACTTCATCCCCGTCGGAATATTATTCCGTTCGACAAGCGTTTGATCCACGTTTTTTTTTTTTCCAGTGAACCTCGCGTGCAGTAATAGTTCGCTTAACTTGCGAATATTAATCTCGCTGTAAGACGTAACACGCTGGAGAGCGTTTCTTCACCCCAGAGTGGGAACGCTAAAGACCCTAAACATTACCTCGTCGCTAAGGGACGTTTGGTTTATTGGGCAATTTTCTGGTCGCTCCAGATACGTACAGGCTTAGCCGAAGAGCTAAGTAACCACTCAGGTTTACGCTCGGGTTACGCGCCCCGATAAGCTGTTAAACCATTCTGTCGCAGTGCTTCTGCGTCCTAAAATCCGCTTTAGCGGTGGTTCTTGTAAATCACTCCGGTGTGTAGAATCGACATTTTGCTACGTGGCCTTCAGGCGGAGTAAAACAGGAGTTTTATCCGTCTAATACCAACGCGGCCGCGTAGGTTTCACTCTCTTTGGGCCGGTGACAGGATTAAGGCTTCCCAGTCTCCGTTCTGCCGGTTCCATGCCTTTTTCTACCATCTTGTGGTGAAGTTGTGTTATATTCATTTCTCTATCAACAATTCCTTGTTTTACCCTGTGCCGTAAAGTTAAGTTTACGCAACGGGCAGTCAATTGTGAGATGAATTAAGAGGGCTGTACCGGGTGTTATACGTGGGCTCAGAAGGTAAAAACGCGATTTGCTCTGTATTTAGTGAGAAATGGACGAGACACGACAAAATCTTTCTTGTACTGTTACACCTGATGTAAGGTTCTCTAACGATCTGCTTACGGAACACACCAAGACACAGGAGACTGTTTACCGGCCGGACCACGCTGGTCCCGCCTCGTACGCGGACTGTCAACCCTTAGCCGGGAGCCGCCGGTCTGGCGCGGTGGAGGTACGGACTTTGGAGCCCGAAGGCCCGGATCTGGGGACAGGTGACGGCGATTCGGTGCCAGCTACACTGGGTCGGAGGTGGTTCTGCTATGCACTTCCTGACGTGAGCTTTAAAAATAAGATGTTTACAGTCACATTGCTATTTCTTTGTCTTTATTTCTTAAGGAGGGTAGAAACCCCACCAATAACATCAAGGTTTGAGATTAACGACACTTTCTCTGCTACTTTTAATCTAAATAAATCTCTTGAACCTATGGTTAACCATTCTGACAAACAGCTTGTGTTTAAACCTGTGGTTCCTGATGCTTTTTCTGTTTCCACCATGTTAGGTGATGACCATCTCTCCAGCATGGGTGTGAATTCTTCCAGCTGTGCTAAACCGCTTCAGTCAGAGGTCTGCTTTGATCATCATCAGTCCACATCATGCACAACCCTGCTTATTTCACGGGGCGAGATGAAAACATCAGCCACCGTGACGCACGTGGCCATCCTACCATTTGAAGGGTTTGTGCCTGGACATCTTGACCTTTCTGTGAATGACCTTGTCAGTTCTCAGTTCGTGACCTCTGCTAATACGGTGGCAAATTCTTTTCTTCTTTCACAGGGGTGTGACTGTGTCTCTGGCCTCTGTGCTCTTTTTCCTGTGACTTCTCTTTCAGGTGACCACGCCGGCGCAGAAAATCCTGCGGTTTCCAGTAGCCCTGTGGTCAGTGGTGATATTGAGGGAGTCTCGGTGGTTGCTGCATTCACCTCTCTCACGGGCCCGGGATCGCGACCCAGCCCGGGAGCAGTAGGTGTGTGCAGTGATGCTCTGCTCAGGGCCCCGCTTGACAAAGGGGGGGGGGGGGGGGGGGGGGTGCTGAGTGGCACTGAGTTTTCCGTTGCGGA